TTCCAGGCCATCCTACACTTGCAGAGAAATTTGCCTACATTCTTTATCAAGAACCATTTTATTCTTCAAAATTCCTGATTTTGTTCAACTTTTCTTTAAAATATTTCTTTACTTCCTCAAATCATCTGTCTCCCTATATCAATAGAACCCTAGGAAAAGACTTGAAACCTACTATTAATTTGGGGGTGGATGTAATCAAGTCCAAGTGTAGGTGCTGCTACCACCAGTAAGTGTAGGTTAGAGGAGGCTAGTATTCATCTGGGCAATTCCCCATCCATAGACCACATCTAAAGAAACATCCTGGCTCTAGTGCCTGTTTTAGGAAAGAGAGAGGAAATTTAGAATGCGTACAACCCAAGGGCCCAGTATGACAGAGCGAAGGAAAGATACCATGTGAAGTATAATCTGGGGAAATGGGGATGTTGATGACAGAGAAGAGATTGAGGGGAAAGAGAAACTCAAAAACTATAATTCAGGGTTTTCAGGATATCCTTTCAGAGACAGATTACACATTTTATATGTGGCCATGGGACACAGTACCATGATGAATAAGTAGAAATTAGACAGGCATATTTTGGCTCAATGTAAGAAAGGCTTTCTAATAATCATGCATATCCAAAATCTTACGGATAGTACAAAGTATTTTTCTGTCAAGCAAAATTTGGGGACCAGCAGATGGCATAATGGCTATGTTACTGAACTCCCATGTATTCCACCGCGGTTCAAGTCCCGGACCCGGTGGCTTAAACTCACGCCAGGCATGTATGCGTGAGTGCCAAGAACCCAAGAGGAGAATGGAGGAGAAGGGATTGCAGCATGGCCATCCCCCCTGGGGGGTGATTTGTCGCTTTCTGTCTCTCCGTTTCTCTGTTTTCCTGGCAAGTGCACACACCCTATAGCAAAAACCTCTCCAAAAAAAAAAAAGTTATTAAAAATTTCACTTGCATAAAATTTCACTTGCATAAATTAGTTATATATCAATTTATGTGTTGAAAATTTAGCATCCAAAGTTAGATGTGCTTCCAATGTTAAATATATAGAGGCTTTGAAGACAATACCAAAAAAAAGAGTATAAAATATCTCAATGGTAATTTTCTATTGATTACACTGTATTTGGAAATGATAATATTTTAGATATATTGAGTTAAAATATGTCATTAAAATTAAAAAGAAATCTAGGGGTGGATTAACAGTGGTACAGTGGGGATGTTCTGCAAGACTGACGCACATGGGAAGGTTCCAGGTTTGCGTCCAGAGACCTCTCTAAATATACTGGACATACACATGTTTATGATATGGTGCTGGCTGAAGGAGTAGATTGCAGCATCAAGGCCCTGTTGAGGGTGCTGTCTCTCCCTCCCTCATCTTTGGTGTCTCAGAAGGAAAGAGAAGAGATGGAACTTTTAAAAAGAAAAGAAAATCCTAGTACCAGCAGATTATGTAATAGTTACATCGCTGGACTACCATGTAGTCAATTGCGCTTCTAGTCCCAGACCTAGCAGTTTAAAATTCACATTGGGCACATGTGCATGCATGCCCAAAATTCTGAGAGGAGAATAGAGGAGAAGGGAATGTATTATGGCCATCTTCCCTGGGGGATGATTTCTTGCTTCCTGTCTCTCTGTCTCTCTCTCTCCAGCAAGTGCATGTACCCTATAGCGAAAATCTCTTGGGGGGGGGGAATGAAAGAAAGAAAGAAAAAAGAAAATCCTAACAAATCCACTAGAAAACTCCAAAAAAAAATCTAGTTTACCATCACTAGTGTGTCGTGTACATTTTACACATGCACACATTTCTACTCACAAAGGTAGCAATCTTTATCACTTGTCCCTCTTTCCCTCTGACTGCTGCTGCTTCTCTCTGCCCCCTAGCCCCTTTCCTTTGCCATACCTAAACATATTTAGGACTCCTCTTCCCTTAAAAATTGAGTTGTCCTGTTTCTTTTTCTATAGGTTATTGGGCATGGAATAGGACACATAGTACAGGAAATTCTACTGAGTTATCAGGAAAGTCATGATGCATTTTTGCATTAAAAAAAAAAAATCATGACTTTCCCGACAACCTAATAAATTGTATCAGTCTTTGGAGCTCCTGAAGAGCTGAGAGCCAATTATAACTTTGGTTTTCTACCACTAGAGCCTTCTTTAACATCTGATTTAGAAAACATAAATAAAATTATAAAGCATTCCTTGACAAAGTGATATGTAAATAAATAACTTGTAAAGTACTTCATTTAAGTGGTGAATAAATAAGTTAATAGCCTCTAGTTCAGTTATTGAATTAAGAGTATTGGGAGAAAGGGGGAAAAATTTAGAATAAAGCACATGCCTAAATTAATTACAAAACAAAGGCTCTTTTTACCTGTTTGAGCATTTCCACCATATATGTATGTTCAAAATTCAGCATACAGTGTCTGTTCTCAAAATAAATAGAAATTGAACTTCATTTTTGATAAGGGTCATGTAAAGTTTATTTTTAAAAAGTGTTTAGTAATCATTAACATTCCTTTTAAAAATGTGATTGAACATGATAAAGCAGCTCTATCCTATCACTAATGTTGAGTTTTGGATTGTAGGTCTTGTCGGCTGCAGCAGCAGCTGGTGTATCTGTAGCCTTTGGAGCACCTATTGGCGGAGTATTATTTAGCCTAGAAGAGGTAAAGACTTTTAACTGTCTCTAGAGTGTGTGACTGTTTCTGTGTCAGGAATGTTGGCCAATATCTATGTAGGTTGCAGTCCCTGAGTGTTCTACCCAAGTTGATGGCTTACCATGTGACTAGAAATCCCTGGGCAGTTTTCATCCTCAATGCTAATAATACCTACAGTACCAATTTCACCTGAAACAGTTGCTGCATATTAACTGAGTTTGCTTTCTTACCTTCTCTCTTTTAGGTCAGCTACTATTTTCCTCTTAAAACATTGTGGCGTTCATTCTTTGCTGCTTTGGTGGCAGCATTTACTCTACGTTCCATCAATCCCTTTGGGAACAGTCGCCTGGTTTTATTTTATGTGGAATTTCATACCCCATGGCATCTCTTTGAGCTTGTGCCATTCATTCTGCTGGGCATATTTGGTGGTCTGTGGGGAGCTTTGTTCATCCGCACAAACATTGCCTGGTGTCGGAAACGGAAGACCACCCAGTTGGGCAAGTACCCTGTCATAGAGGTACTTGTTGTGACAGCTATCACTGCCATCCTGGCTTTCCCCAATGAGTATACCCGCATGAGCACAAGTGAGCTCATTTCTGAGCTATTCAACGACTGTGGCCTTCTGGACTCCTCCAAGCTTTGTGACTATGAGAATCGTTTCAATACAAGCAAAGGAGGTGAACTGCCTGACAGACCAGCTGGCATGGGAGTCTACAGTGCAATGTGGCAGCTGGCTTTGTCACTCATACTGAAGATTGTCATTACTATATTCACCTTTGGCATGAAGGTGAGGAATTCTTTTAATACTCAGCCACTATATGTGTGGCTGTGGGTTTTGGAAAGCAAAGTCAAGGTTTTATACAATCCTGATAGTTTATGTGGTTCTTTCAACTTCCCCTGCCCACAAAAGTTTCTGTTATCTTTACAGGTTCTCATAATTTCCAAGAATATTGTATCTCTATCTCAAATTGTCCAATCCTAGTTTTAAAACAAATGCAAGCCTCAGTGATAAAATTTTAGGAAGAAGAGTGTTTCCTTTTATCTAGAAGACATACAAGGGGTCTTCTAAAAGGTTGTGGAAAATGGAATTAAATTAAAAGTTTATTATGTTAAAAAAGTAGAATCTCTGTCTTAATCCACTATTGCATTGCCAACAAAATATTTGAACCTGGGTGATTCCTATGTATATAATCCAATTCAGCTCACAGTTTGAAAGTCCAAGGTCCAAGGGCCAACTTCTGATGAGGTTGCAACATGATGGAGGGCAGAATCTTGAGCAGAGTAGCTGCCTATAAGTTTCCACCTGTTTTGGTCTCCTTTTCTTTCTTTATAGCCCTTCTAGAACTCTGTCATGGTGGCCCTTCTTATCACACCCAAAGGCCCCACCGTAGGATACCATGAAGGGATTAAATTTTTGCTTCACACCTTTACAGTACAGCCAGGTCTCAACACATGAATTTTGTGGGGACATCCTAACCATAGCAAAATTCACAAGTAGTTTTTTTTTTCCAATATCCATTATAATTTTTGAAGACCCGCTTGTATTTTACCCTTTTAAAAGGATAGCAAGTTATTTATTCCAGTGTATCCATATGTGGAAGCTAAAAAAGTTGATTTCATAGAAGTAGAGAATAGAAAAATGGTTACTAGAGACTGGGCAGAAGAAAAGGGATAAGAAAATATTGGTTAGTGAATACAAAATTACAGCTAGATAGGAGGAATAAGTTCCAGTATTCTGTAATACAGTAGGGTGACTATAGTTAACAGTGATTTATTGTATTTTTCAAAGTAGCTAGAAGAGAGGATTTTGAAAGTTCCCAGTATAAACTAATGGTAAATGTTTGAGGTGGTGGATAATTGCCCTTAATTGATCATTGCACATCATATTTATATATCAAAAAATGACATTATACTTCATAAATATGTGTTACTTAATACATTTTTAGGACTTGCCCCATAGCCTAGTGTTTAAGGGGGCTGGATCCCACATGGCCCACCGTGAATCAACTCCTGACTCTAGCAGCTTGAAAACCACACTGAGACATGTTCATGCATGCCCCACATCCTAACAGGATGGCAAAATGGAGGAAAAGAGCTGTGGTGTGACCATACCTCATGGTGAGGTATTCTCTTCCTTTCTCTCTGTTTCACTCTAGTGAGAGTATGCACCCTTAGGCAATTAGAAAATAAAAACAAATTTTAAAAAAGCCAGTAGAATTTAATAACAACAACAAAAAAGCAAAATCTGACTGACATAATGTTACTCCTTATAGGGTAGATTTAGTGTTGACCAATAAAGCATTATATTAGGTTAATCCAAATGAAGTTGTCTGTTTTCAACCATTTTGAGCACTAAAATAGCATTTCTATGTGGTTCAATCCAATATGTATATAGCTAAATGTATTTTGTACATTTGCTATCAATGCTGTTTTGAACAAATGCAATCTATTTCATGGGTAATGCTAAGTTAATATATAAACTGTCAAAAGCAGACATCAGACCACCATGGTTTACTTTCAGTACCTGGTACAATTTACATATTTTGGAATTAACTAGAAGGAAAATATGTTAATGTATTTTCTTTCTCCTTCCTAGATTTTTGTTTGTTAATTTCTTTTCTTTAGAACCTCACTACCAGCTTACTTTCTTCTATTTTCTAGGGAAATGGAGAGTCCTACCAGAAAATAAGAGACAGCAATTCAGTTTAGGCATTACTGTAATCTGTGTCATTTACCCCTCAATACAGGGATCAGATGGAGACCCTGAAACATTTTTCAGTGTTTCTTGAGTGAATTTTCACCTTGTGCTTTCCTTCTTCCATTTAAAGGGAATTTTTATACCTTCAGAACTCCAGATCCAAATGTGTTCCAAAATCAAACACAAGCTATTTAAAAATAATCCGCTGCTTTGAGTATCCTTATGTCATTTCTCTCTCATAGTACCAAACACTAAGCATTCATTATCGGGGCCCACCTGATAGCATAGTGGTTAAGAGAGCCAGATCCCACATGACCAACTATAGTTTAAATCCTGGCCCAGGGGCTTGAAAACCATGTTGGGTATGTGTGTGCACGTGCCCAAAATCTCAACAGGATGGAGAAGTGGATAAGTAATTGCAGCATAAGCATACCCCATTGAGGGGTGTTTTCTCCTTCTCTCCCTTTTTGTCTCTTTCTGGTAAGTACACATGCCCTTAGGCAATTAAGAAAAAAAAGAATTTACCAAAGTATCCTAGGAGTCAAGGAAAAGTACAGGGAAATAGCTGAGGGTTCTTTTTTTGGTTAATTATGCAACCTTAGTCACTGTCTCATTTTAAAATTTTAATTGTTTAATCTTTCTTATATTACTACAAAATAGACCAAAGCCTCACATACCATTTTTTTCTATATGAGCAATGGGAAAATATTCAATATATGAGTGTGGTTATGAACATTTTATTTAAATTCCAGCACTAGTATTTACTAAACCTTGACTTTGGATGAGTTACTTAACCTCTCTGGACCTTTGGGAAAAATACCATCTACCTCCTGGGGTTGTTATGAAGAGCCAATGAAATTTTATATGTAGGACATCTAGTATGGCACATGGTAGATAGTCAGTCAAGGGTAGTTGTTGTTGATAAGAATTCAGAATTGGGTAAATGTCTGCATATATGAAAAACTCCATCTATTTTCCTTTTTCTTTGGGAAAGGCCAGATTTCTGCCTCCAGTTCTATGTTGGTCTGGAGAGTTCAGGCTCTTGCCTGATGGACCCCAAATCAGGGTAAGCTTTTTTTTTTTTTTTTTTTTTTTAGTCATCCTTGCCTGCACGTCCCAAAGAACCTCTAGTTCCTGTAGTGTTACACAAATCTTTACAGCCACTTGCTAGCATAGTTGCTTAGTTAAATTGTCATTGGCCTGTTTGCTTCGCAGAGGGTCAGTTCTTCAACTCTAATCATATAACAAGCAATAATCATATCATTTCCCACTCACCACTTATTGCTTTCTCTTTACAGGTCCCTTCTGGCCTCTTTATCCCTAGCATGGCTGTAGGTGCCATAGCAGGCCGACTTTTAGGAGTAGGAATGGAGCAATTGGCTTATTACCACCATGATTGGACCATCTTCAATAGCTGGTGTAGTCAAGGAGCAGATTGCATTACCCCTGGCCTTTATGCAATGGTTGGGGCTGCAGCCTGCTTGGGTGAGTAGTGTTTGCATTGATTTCAAAGAATTTGCTACTCAGGCAATATAACAAAGAACAGTGATATTAAACACAGTTTTGTTTTTTTTTAAAAAAAATGACTATCCATTTCCTGTTGGGTTGGACATTTTTCAAGCACTTTAAGAAAGTGAATTCTACTTTCTCACACTGGGGAAATAATCAGAAATTTGGACGAAGCTACCTGCACAAGAATGTGCATCACAATACTATTTATGAGAGCAAAAAAAATAGACTCAAGCTAAATTAGCATAGTAAGAAACTGGTGGGACTGGCAGTTGGCATGATGGTTAAGGCACTGGACTCTCACATGGCCAACCACCAGTTTGAGTACTGGACCTGATAGCTTTCTCTCTCTCTCTTCCCTACCTCCCCCACCGGTATAACTAAATAACTATAATAATAATAATTTAAATTAACAATAAAAAGGAAACTGGCTAAATATATTATGGTACATTCATAATGATGTTATATTATACAGTCTTTAAATATGAGGTTAATGGGACCAGTGATGAAGGCACTGGATTCCCACTTGGTCGATTATTTGAGTCCTAGACCTAGTGGCTTAAAAATCATCCCAGGCACATGTGTGTGCATACCCCAAATCCCAAGAGAATAGAGGAGAAGGGATTGCAGTGTGACAATACCCCCAGGGGATGATTTCTCATTTTCCCTCTCTCTGTCTCTGTCTCTCCAGCAAGCACACACACCCTATGGCAAAAACCTAAAAAAACTGAGGCTAATATGTTTAATATCTTTAAATATGATGGTAAAAATATTTGAAATAATATGCAAAATATTCCAGACATAAAGTGGAGGGGAAAAACTTGGTGAGGAATTAAACATATTATATGAAATCACCTGTGAAACACATGTTTTTGCATGGAAAAAAAACACTTTAAAAAGTCATTCAAAATATTTACTCTGTTTATAAGCAGTGAACTTATAAATAATGACTTTCTTTTATAATTCTTGAATTTTCCACAATGGGCATATATTTTATAATTAAGAAAATGGACAAATAATAAAAAAGGAATCAAGGCCTCTTATATGTCCATAGATTTTATTTTGAGAAATCTGAATCATATCTATTGCACCCTTACCTTAATGCAGTCTCAGGGGTCTGTACAGTTACAGTTCTATTGTTTCTGATAAGTCAGCTTTTCCAGAATGATGCCTGTGACTGGCCCTAATTATAATGAATCCTGTACTTTGTCTGCCTTCATTATCTCGTCTGTTTCTTTGCAGGTGGGGTGACTCGGATGACTGTTTCTCTTGTCGTCATAATGTTTGAACTGACAGGTGGCTTGGAATACATTGTGCCCCTGATGGCTGCAGCCATGACAAGCAAGTGGGTGGCAGATGCTCTTGGAAGAGAGGGCATTTACGATGCTCACATTCGTCTCAATGGATACCCCTTTCTTGAAGCCAAAGAAGAGTTTGCTCATAAGACCCTGGCAATGGATGTTATGAAACCCCGGAGAAATGATCCTTTGTTGACTGTTCTTACTCAGGACAGTATGACTGTAGAAGATATAGAGACCATAATCAGTGAAACCACTTATAGTGGCTTCCCAGTGGTGGTGTCCCGGGAGTCTCAAAGACTTGTTGGCTTTGTCCTCCGAAGAGATCTCATTATTTCAATTGGTAAGGATTTCAGAAAAGGGGATACTGGAATCCACTGTAGAACTCAATAAGTTTGCATGAAATAGGGGAAGACAGAGGAGAATACTAGTTAAGGGACAGAAAGATAGAACTACTAGCACTTCCATTTTCAACTTGTTTTTTCCTTCTGTTGAAATAGAAAATGCCCGAAAGAAACAGGATGGAGTTGTAAGCACTTCTATCATTTATTTTACTGAGCATTCTCCTCCAATGCCACCATACACTCCACCCACCCTGAAGCTTCGGAACATCCTAGATCTCAGCCCCTTCACTGTGACTGACCTTACACCCATGGAGATCGTAGTGGATATTTTCCGCAAGCTGGGACTGCGGCAGTGCCTGGTTACACACAATGGGTAAGAACTCTCGGGGGAAGGCAAACTGGATTGTGGGAGAAAATAGAATATAGAAAGGAAGAAAAGGAGAACTCAGTTTAAATGAACATTAATAGTACTTTTAGGACTTTCTGAAACTCTGAGATGAAGGTGGATTTTTTTTTTAATCTTTGTGATTAATAGCAAAGGAGTTTTGAGGAAGAGAGTGTGTTTGAGAGATGAGAACTGCTGGTTTCACATTATAAATAACTCAGTTCCTCCCCTACAAACAAAGCAGCTATATTCTTGTATACAGGCAACACTGAAAATTATAATGATATGAGGTAGTATATGTATAGTATTTGATCCTTACAGTTTCCCTGTTATTATTTGAGGCTGAGAAAACCAAGTTCCAGTGACATATAATTATTTGCATACGGGAACCCTGTTAATAAATAGTAGAGGTAGGCTCTCAACACAGGTCTTGTGACCCCCCAAGCCTCTTTGCTTCCCGGGATATTTCTTATCCTGTAAAAGAAGCCCTTCTAATTTTATTGCAGAACAAGAGATTGAGGAGAAGGATTGGATTTTTTTTTCCTGAACATGATCGATTAACTCAGCAATTATATAAGAATTTTACTCGTGTCTGAAATTTCTTTTTGTACCTATTTTTTTTTTTTTGGAGAGGTTTTTGCTATAGGGCATATGCACTCACCAGAAAGATAGAGACAGACAGAGAGACAGAAAGCAAGAAATCACCCCCAGGGAGTATGGCCACGCCACAATCCCTTCTCCTCCATTCTCCTCTCAGGATCCTGGGCACCGCACACACAAGCACCTGGCATGAGTTTAAGCCACCGGGTCTGGAACTCAAATCGCCCTACATGGGAGTCTAGCAACGTAGCCATTATGCCATCTGCTGGTCCCTCTCATGTCTAAAATTTCTAAGTGGTATAACAAATGTCTTATAGGATTGAAGTCAGAAAGGGAGCTTCCTAACTAGTTCATTCAACATTTACTGAATCCCTCCTTCATATAAGAAGGTAATCTACTAGATTTCAGGGATACAGAAAAGTGAATAGACCTTTCTCTGCCCTCAAGGCGTATGCAGTGGTATAGGGAAGAGAAGAACATACAAGTGCATGAAGTACAATAACAAGTGCTACAGAAGAGGTCTGCATAGAGCATGCTATTGCTGGGAGGATAGCAGAGTTAGTGTTAGTTCATAGGATTGGGGCAGGTATTCAGGAAGAGGGGCTTTTGAACTGGACTGCAGTAGGTAAGTAAGATTCATATACAGTTGGCCCTCCACAGATTGAAAATGTTACCTTGCTGCTGACATGCACTATGTCATTAGGCCTAGAATGGTTGCATCTGTACTGAACATGTACAGACATTTGTCCTTGTCATTATTCTCTCAACAATGTAGTATAGCAACAAGTTAGATAACATTTACATTGTATTAGGCATTATAAGTAATCTAGAAATGATTAAAAATATGCAGGAGGATATGTGTACATTATATACAAATACATAATTTTGTATAAGGGACTTGAACATCTAGATTTTGATATCTGCAGGGGAATCCTGGGACCAATCCCCTGCAGATACCAAGGGATAGCTATACATGAGAAGAATATTTAAACTAGAAAAAACCATGGGATATGAGACCTAGAGGTTCAAAGGTTCTTCATAAAGTTCATGGAAAATGCATATTATGGAAGAGCTATGCATAGGTTTCATAAAAACTTTAGGCACCAAAATAAACTCATATTTTTTGAGAGATTTTTGCTATAGGGCTCATGCGCTTGCCAGAAAGACAGAGACAAAAAGCAAGAAATCACTCCCCGATGGGATGGCCATGCCGCAATCCTTTCTCCTCCATTCTCCTCTCAGGATCTTGGGCACACATGCACACGTGCCTGGCATGAATTTAAGCCACCAGGTCTGGGACTCAAACAGCAGTGGACTACATGGGAGTCCAGTGACATAGCCATTATGCCAACTGCTGGTCCCGATATTTTTAATTCCATGTTTCCATGAACTTTTCAAAGTTCCCTCAGAAATGTTTGCATATATTTAGTGACCCATATTTTGTCACATTTGCTTGGGGCATGTGTTCAAATCCTATTATCTCATCATTGTGGAAGTACAGGTAGTGTTCCAAGGTGAAGTTGAAAAGGATTGAGAAAGACAAGTGTCACCTTTGGGAATGCTATTTTAACTACAGATTTATTTTTGTTTTGTAACTTTGTGTTTGTCTTTTAGGCGATTACTTGGAATAATTACCAAAAAAGATGTCTTAAAGCATATAGCACAGATGGCAAACCAAGATCCTGATTCCATTCTCTTCAACTAGAATCACAAGGTTGTTCTGGATTTGAAACAGGAAGGACATTGCAGACGATGCATCTATTTTATTAACTGGGTACCCAAAACACATTTCCCATATTTGGATGGTGAAATCATATTAATATGCTGTCTCTCTCCTACAAGTTAACCAGTTGCACTACATAATCTCTGGAAATTCATCTTCTTTTTAGAAGAAAATATGGTTAGGCTTCTGTGATACGCATTAGGAAGATTTCATGGAAGAGTAAACTAAGCATGATTGCTATGGTTTATTTGTTTTTTAAAGATTTTTTTATTTAAAAAAATAATCATTAGTCAGTATGCAATCACTGGAAACTATGCAAGAAAAATGCCAACCGTCCTGACCTATCCTATAGCCTGTAGGAAACTCATGAAGAACTCATTTGAGGGGGGATCTGACATTGGTAAAAGATGAAGTGTAAACTAAGGGGCTTTGCTTTTCAAACCACAGAAAGGAAAGCCAGAAGGAAAATAGTGATGGTATGTTCTAGACTGTGAAAATTCAACTCAAATGTTATCCTTGTCCTGTTACAATGTTTAGCATTATTAATTTGTTATGTGTGTATCTGTATGTTAATTTTAACTTTTGATTATAAGACAATGCTGCTTTGGTTAATCTCCTCTAAGTGAATTGAGAGAGGTTGACTTTTATAGCTGGCTTATTCCTGGTACTCTTTTGAAGTGCACAAAGATAAGTTATAGAGCTTTCTCCTTGTCTGCAAGAAAGATAATTTTCCAGGTGATATTTGTTAGCTTGTAGACAAGGACTTTGCCATGAAATTGTTAGTAGCAAGGAATGATTTCTTTCAGCTTCCTTGAAATGAATTATTTGTACAGTTCTAAGCAAAGTCACTGATTAGGATTTCACATTTTTGTGAGGTCCTAACTAATTCTCTTACCCAGATGCCATCTCCAAGAATGATGGTGCTTTAGGCTTCTGGAATATGTAAGAACAGTAAAGGGAACCAGTATAGGCTGTATACTGGAAAACCAGGGAAGATTCAAAGCTGCATCTGCATTCTTATGCATTCCTTTATAAAGGACACCAGTACTAAAGTAACTGGTCACTTATGCCTCCTCTCAGTGTTAAGTACATATAACAGGCCAGTGTTGTCCCAGTGAGCATGAATAAGGCTTTGGATACTTTCAAATATATTCAAGATATTAGAACAAAATAGGCGGTTGTGCCTCCCTTAAGGGTCCCTTTAGACTTTTAAATAAAACACAGAGCCATCCAAAGACCCAGGGGCATGGACAAGGCCTGGTGACACCAATGGTGCTTGTATACCATTGAAAAGGTGCCTGTCTCAATTCTCTACAACTTCTAATGCAGTTAAAAAAATCACACTATAGGGGCACTGGTGGAATTAAAGAGCCACCCCCATCATTCCAACCACTATAGTATTCAATTTTATTTAGTTTTACCCATGTGCAATTACTGTCCCTCCACTCTTTTCCTCCCTCCTATTCCTTACCACTGAATCCTCTCTTTGAGGTTGAGTACTATGCCCTGGTTAATCATTCCTATTGCAAAAAGTGATTCCCAGGGCTAGTTAAGTTGTAAACCAAGGCTCAGCAATCTTAGGGCACATGGACCAGAGGTGATTCACAGCCATTGCCTTTGCCATATGGCCCAGTTGTTGCTACCATGCCTCCATTTCCACATCAGATGTGCATAGCAGTGAGATTTCACTGCCAGAAGCGAAGGTTTAGCCTTCACATTTTTACAGATTTGTTCCCAGCACTTCTCACCATCTTTCTAGCCCCAAATCAGCAGACACGTATTTTCCCCCAACTTTTCACTCTCCAAAATACCTCAGTGTACCTCATTTTAAAAGTTACTGATCTATAGTTCTAGGACTTTTTACCCCTAGTTTGTATCTTTCCAAAGTCTAAAATTCTTAATGTTCCTCAAAAATGGCTAGCCAAGGCTTATTTTGATTTTGGTCTTTAAAATATAAAGACAGCCACCAGTTTCTTCTTTTAAGTCTATTACTCTAGCATTTTAATGAAAAAGAAAAAACAATCTCTAAGGTACATTATATTATAGTCATGGTTCAGTAGCTACATCTTTTGTCCTTTCGTGTCACTGAGTCCTTCCTATGAGATTAGACATTTTGCTAACCACCCTATAAGTTTGTAGAAATTAAACATACCACATATTTCTGGTTCAATACCCATTTTATTAGCCGTCCATCCCCACCAAAGTTTTCAGAACAGAAAACATTACTCTTTCTGGTATTGGATGGCATTGAAAAGTTTGATCATTTTTTCATGGTGTGGCAGTGATATGGAGGTTATCTTAAGTTTGCCTTTGTGGTTTTTCTAGGTTTTGTCCTTGATTTTAAATAGATGAGCCAGTGTTAAGGTGCTACTTCAGAGAATAAATTCAAGAAATTAGATAACACTGTGCTAAGGTATACGTTCTAGATGCTAAGCACCAATTGGCCCTCTGGAGATGACAATATCCCTCTGATACCTCATTCCTGATAAATCTCATTCATTAATCTCAGCTTCTCAGGAATCCTTTGTAGCTCATATGCTATAAGTAGCTATAGTATATGGTGTCCACTGTGTGTCTAATCCTATGTTTTGGCTCCAAGATTGGCTAATTGTGGCTAGAGCTCTTCTAGATTGCTAGCTCAGCACCTTGATACTCAAGAGTTACTTGTCTTGAGATAAAGGAAAATATTCTTTCTGCCATTGCCAGTTTAGCAGTTGGACATACTTAACCAACCAACAAAGCCAGTATAGGGATGTCTATCAATAACCTCAAGTGGCCATATACATCATTGGCAAAAGACAAGATAATTTACAATTTAAAATTAATGAGTTGAGACTTGGCTATCTAGGTATTTAAAAAATAAAGTTGCCTGATGCAAGGAATGAGTTTACAAAAGAATGCCACTAAGTGCTTCAACCAAGTTATGATGTTTCAAGGAAAAATATATAGTGAACATCTAGCCACAAAGAGAATGAGAATCTAGAGATTCATTACTGCTATATTGTGTATCTTCAGATCTTCATTTTATAGAATTTAAAGAAGCCAAAACAATTAATATATAACTAGTTATACTGAAAGGAAGAAACAGGGGGACTGATAATACTAAATAATAGCTACTTTAAAAATCATTTCTATTTGGACGTTTTGTTAGAATCATGTTCCAACACTCCTTTTTCTCTGACACCAGCATCCTGGGTCATCCCAGCTATGGAGTAGAAGTGGTACAATTCACATATATTCTCTGGTAGATAATCTGACATTGATGATACTTTGAATTTCCCAGCTGGTGGAGCAAACAAGTAATTTGCTGAATTGAACTGCAAAGAAATTCCATTGTTTTGGTACCAAAGGCTGAATCTAAACCCTTAATAGAAAGAGCACAGTACACATTTCTTTAGCAGGTCTTTTATTCTGTTTGAACATAAAAAATGATAAAAGTCACAGAGACTTAGTGTCATGTAAGACTTCAAAGTAATTTACAACCAAGATCTTATGAACCCATCCAGGAGCAGTTGGGGGCACAGCAAATAAGCTTTTAAAAACTTAGCTCATGAAACAATCCATTATAGAAAGTCATCATTGTTGTATGGTTTAAGTAGTTCAGTCTGTTGTGGTTGGGCCTTGATTTTGGTTTGTTTTGTTAGATGAGTAGGACAACTAACCCCTGCACTATCTTTTGTTTGTTTCTTTAATAAGTCACGAAGTGCAATTTCTAAGTTGAGTCTTTAGTTATGATAGTGAAGACAATATTGAGAATTTGAAATGGTCAGTGTGTTTTATATTGCCAAAGTACTTACTGAGGACTGACCACATTGTGTTGTGAGGAACTAGTTTGCCTACACTGGATCAGAGCCAAATGCAGGCTACTTATCAGTTCAGAGAGATCAAGAGAACATCTTCTGTGGTAGTGCATAAAATATTAAGCTCCTGAAAACCCTGGGGAAAAAATGAAAAATTTAGAAAATAAGTGGGAGTACATGTAGCATATCAGATCCTTAAAAAAAAAAAAAGATAATTTAAATATAACTTTAAGGAACTTAAGTTTCCTAAAACCTTGTGTTTGTTTTGTTTTGTTTGTTTCTGTTTGTTTTCTAACCACCTCTGGGATTGCCTGGGATCCCTTTCATGAAGAATTTGGAAGTTATCTTCTTCTTTATTTTTTTTCTTTTTTAATTAGGAAGTTATGGCAGTGGAAAATTCTGGTAGGAACATATATGAAGGTGTAAGATGGTGGGAGGACAGGCATCCCATGTTACACACCATACATCTGGCATTTGTAAACCGCTTGATCGTGTGCCTCTAGGGTAGAAACAATCAAGTAATTCCCAAAGGGCAGGCTTTCTAAGCAAACGAGAGGCTCAGAGTAGTGCTTGACTGGAGGGCAGAGTAGTTTTCTAGAGAGGTCAGATCCAAAACATCTGCTCATGACAGAATGTGGTATCTGGTGCTGATCCCTAAATGGTAAGCTTTAGGTAGATTGTCTTGAATTTTGATAGCAAAATAGTTTTAAAATCTATGTATTTTAGCCTTTGTAGTATATCCTTACTGTATAAAGAAAAAGGTGAGAATTCCTCCGATCAGAGCTCAGAAGCTGTGTAAATTTAAAGTTCAATCAGCGTAGTGCACCTGTGATGATAACTGACTTTTGCTCAGCTTCCATTTTCAGTTGTTTGCTCTAAGAAGAGAAGTTCTGAGAATAGTGGGTGTTAACAAATCTAAGTTATTCCCCAAATGTTGCTGACCACATTCTCATTTCTAAACATCTGAATTGGGAAAGTTCTGAAGAATGTAGGAAAAAGAGTTGTTTTTTCCACTATATAATCTGGTCTTGCCAAATCACCCAAGAAAGGATATACAGTGTGTGGAGTGTGTTTCTTGGATGGGGCCTATGAGGTCATCCAGCCCAATCTTGTCATAAATTCCTACCTCTAAATTCCTGCCAAAGGGTCTTTAGCCTCTGTATATGCACTCATTGAATGAATGTGTTGCCTAAAGTTTGGACTTTGAGGATAAACAGCATGTTATGATATAAAAATATGAAGATTTAAACAATGATTTCTGCCTCTCCTTCTCTGTTTCTCCCCTAGCCTCATCGCCCTCTCTTTCTCTTTGTCTCCGCTATACCCTAAATTCAGATTTGTCTCATTTTTTTTAAAAATTGTGTTATATTTTTTCATTTAGTTACTATACATCTTTACAGCACACAAAATTCTGTAAAGAACTTGTTTTGAATATGGTCTTTGAGGGAGAGAGAGAGGATGAACCTGAGGACAGAGAATGGAAGGTCCTTCTGAGTTGATGGGGCCTGTGGGGCTTTTGCTCCATTGCAGGGTCTAAAGACAATGGTAACTGTTGGTAATGTTTAAAGCCTTTAGCATCTCAAGGCAGACATATGAAGTAGTCGTTACTAAACCTTATTATCTACTAGTCTAAATCTTATTATCTGCTAGTCTAAATCTGTTGGAAGTGAGGGGCAGTTCATGATTTGATGAGTGAAATGCCATCAGGCAAAATGGGAAAAGGGTATGGCCTAATATGATTCGATCAGGGTAGAAACATTTAGCTTCATTATCATATTGAGGGTACCTCAAAATCTATGGTCTTTTAAGAGTGGGCCTTTTCCCTCCTATATTTCACTTTGCCTCCTCTTCTCCTTACTCTCCCATTGTCCTGCCTTTTTTAGTACTCAGCTTTTTGTATAAGTATTTACTTCTTTATTATATATTTGGTCCCTTTGGACTATGTAATGATTAAGATTTTATTCCATTCATGATAAAAATTATATGTTTAATATTTTGTTCTCTTAAACTCTTTTGAAGCTATGCTGCTAACCAGGTACAGACTAGAAAGAAGTTGGGCCTGACGGAACGTTGGTTACATCACCCAATGATAACAATAATGTCATGATGGTGATTGTTTTTCATTTGACTGAGGCCAGCCTCCTGCTCTTCCTCTACTCATTCATTTCTGGTGGGGGGGGGGGGGGGGGACTACCCACTAAAAAACCCTGAGGCCAGAAGTATCAGAGGAGCCAGGTTCTAGCTGATGGACCACTATTTGAATATCTCTATAATAAACTCATTTATAGGGCCAACTCCAACTGCAGTAGCCAAAGAAAACCAATCTGACTCGACATTTTAATTCCTGAGAACTGATTAAAAAAAAAAAAAGTTCAGCTAAAATACAGATAATCAGCAGTAGCTAGGCATCCAGAAACTAGTTTCAACCAAAGCTAATATAGCCTGAGTTTCCACAGGAGCTTGGTGCTGAGCTGTTCAGAGTAGTTATTTATCCAAGTGTTACCAACCTTTAGCCATGCTTTCTTAGCTCTATTTTCACCCATTCATTGGCACAGTCTGAACCAAAGCTATGACTCTGCTCAATTCTTTCTGCTCCCTGGTCATGCATAGCAACATGGTCTAAAAAGGAAGACATGAGCTAGGGAGTTAGGAGACCTGGTTTCTATTCCCTATGCTTCTACTAACTAGCCTTGAGATCTTAACCGCTCTGTGCCTCAGTGTTCCCATCTACAAAATGGGGATAGTGTTAATTGCCCTACCTACCTCACAGGGTTGTTGTGAGGATAAACTGAGACAATGAATGGAAAGTACTTTAACAAGTAAGTGCTATGCAATTTGTAAGGAATGGAAACAATCCTGTTAAAGGCAATGGAATGGACATTGGCAAAAGGGTTAATAGGATCTTCCAGCCCTTTCTCTTTGTGGCTTAAACCCAGGTCGCCATTGCTTTATACATTTTCACTTAGCACAGATTTGTAATTATGCATGTAATAAAGCACAGCCTTATCCAACCTGGTGTCTGATGTTTTTCTGAGGACTGTAAACTTGTAGCTATTGATTTCTAATTAGAAAAAGAAAGCATGAAGTCAGAATGTGGGGCTTGGGGGAGGGTTGCATAAAGGACAACTGCAAACTCCTACTGGCAGCCTCATGTTTTACAATAAGGAGGCAAATCTGAAACATTCCAAATACCTGGATACCTTATTCATTATGGCGACTTCAATGTTCCTGTCTTGTACATTGGTAATACTTTACTGATGACATGAAATTAGCTGGACGCTGTATGGGGTTTTTTTGTGTGTTAATTTTTGAGCATTTCATATAAGATCCCAGGTTTTGACAGGCCTCTTGCTGACATTTACCTTGTACAGGAGTGAGGATGAGTGATTAAAATGTTCCTCCAATGAATAATAGACTTTTTTTTGGAGAGATTTTCGCTATATGGCGCGTGCGCTTGCCAGACAGACAGAAAGCAAGAAATCACCCCCCAGAGGGGATGGCCACGCCGCAATCCCTTCTCCTCCATTCTCCTCTCGGGATCTTGGGCACTCACGCACACGCGCCCGGCGTGAGTTTTAAGGCACCGGGTCTGGGACGTGAACCGCGGTCAACTATGTGGGAGTCCAGCGACATAGCCATTACGCTAACTGCTGGTTCTCTAGACTTCTTAATACCTCTTGATGGTGTGTGGGGATTTAATGTCTTCTGTGGGAAGACTATGTAGATTAAGGCTGGGTAGATCATAGGGAAGTGATTGAATATAAAAACATTTCCTTTTCACATCTCTCTGGAACACAGAAAACAAAGGAAAGCTTTACTTTGTTGTTGGCTTTCCTACGTTTTTACTCCTATTTTTCCTGCACCTGACTTCTCCGCTCTTCGACCTCCCTCTCTGTTAGCCAGACACTACTGGTAAAGCAGTTTACTATGGGTCCAGGTTTTACTTTAAGAATTTCTTTGTTTACATTTGATCACATCTACCCTGGTGTTGACTTGATATCTCTGGCTGCTATTGAGAGCTTTAATGCCTTTGGCCTAGTTGGTGTCATTTCAGGAAGGATACCTCTATAGAAAAATAACTTCATCGCAAGCCTGATATCCCACAGTAACATTCAGTTCTTGGTGTCTATCATTTTACTAGGATCTTTCCACATTATTGTCATCCTTGCCTTTAAATACCTTTTGAGGAAAAGAAGAAAAATAATTTGCTAGCAACTACCACATTGCTATGAACTAGAGTGTCATAGGGCTCAGATAAAAATTGCTTTGATATGGGGCCAGCAGATGGTGTAGCAATTACATGGCTGGACTCACATGGACTACTGCAGTTTAAATCCTGGACCCAGTGCCTTGAAACTCATGCCGGACCTGTGTACATGCGTCCCCAAGATCTCAGGAGAAGGGATTGCAGCGTGGTCATTCTCCCTGGAAGGTGATTTCTCACTTTCCCTCTCCCTGTCTCTGTGTCTCCAGTGAGTGCACACACCATAAAACCTCTTTTTAAAAAATTGCTTTGATGGAATATGAGGTACAAACCATCATCCTGTATAGGAGCAGCCCAGAGGAAAACCTGAAAATGACCACCAGATGTCAGTGCAATCATTAAAATACTGATATGGCTAAAATTTGGCCTGATATTAACTGTTTGAGGGGTAGAACAAGAATCACTAATTCATACCTATAGCAAGTTGCGAAGAATACAAAATTCAGTCACATCATATTTCATAGTTTATCAGACATTTTTTCTCTTCTTTATGAGTGAGAGACAGAGACAGTATTTTTGACAGGGTCTCACATTTTGTGATCATTCTGCCCTAGCCCCACTGTTAGCCAGGACCACATACAACCATGCCCAGCCTGTTCAGATTGACTGAAAATGAAACCAATCTTGCAACCCTGTTGAGAATGCTTTTCTCTCAAGGAAGAGAGGGAGGAAAGTACAGGAAGGAGAAAAGAAAGGAAGGAAGGGGTAGAGGGAGGAATTTTAGAGCTGGCCTTGTAATATAGCAGTTAAGCCCTGAGCTAGGAAGCTAGATCTCATATGGACAACTACAGCTTTAATCCTCACCCCAGCAGCTTGAAAAACATGCCATGTATATATATTTGTGTACCCAGAATATTGACTAGATGGAGAAATGGAGGAAAAAAGATTGCCCCATTAAGGGGTACTTTATCTCTCTCTTTCTGGTGAGTGTATGGACCCTCTAGCAATTAAAAAAAAAAAAGTATCTTTTTCAAAGAAGTTTCTCAGATGAAAACTGGAAGAGAAAAGACTCTGGCTCCTCCCTCAGTAGGGTAACGATATCACTTTGTTGACTAGGACACTTTTGAGAGTGGTACTAATAATTATCCAGGAGCAATAGGCATAAACTAGGACTACCCCAGGAGTCCAAGAAGTGTAGTCATTCCATTCCTCTGAGATCTCCAGCTCCTGTCCTTTGGACTCTAGTTTCAGGTCTCCCAGGATCCTTCTCTAGGATCTCAGGCTCTGCCCTTCCCCTAGACATGCTGTCCTCTCTTGTAATCTCTCAACTGTTACTGGAATGGTAGAATAAGAGAAACACTCAAACGACCACAAGTAAAAATTTTGGATTCTCAAAAACAATAAGCTCGAGGTCACCAGGTGGCATTATGATGAAGGTGCTGGACTACCACATGGCTGACCACAGTTCAAGTCCTGGACCTGGCAGCTTTCTCTCTCTCTCTCTCTCTCTCTCTCTCTTTCTGTCTCCCTCCCTCCCTCCTTCTCTCTCCTCTCTCTCTCTGATGAGTACATGTGTCCTGTAGCAAAACTAAAAACTAATAGTAATGAGAAATAAACAATTATTTTTTAAAAATCAGACTCTGAGCACAGAGGAACATTCAGGGTAAGAAAAAAACAATTCGTGGTTCTTTTAGGCCTCCTAAAGCTGCTAGATTACAGAGGTTCCATACCTGTGCATTGCCCACTGCTAGTGTCTCTAAAGATACCATTTTAGGATCTTGATTCAAGAGCTACTGATACAAGATAGGAACAGCTGGAAAAAGCATACGATTTGGAGCCAACAAATCTGGACTCAAAGCTTACTGTAAAGGAATCGCTACTTTTTTGATCAAACAAAAGTTAGGATCTCAAAGATTGACTTCCAAAGAGTCTTCTCTTAAAAAGGGCTTCTGAACTTAGTGAATGTCCTTGTGTTTTGTAAGATTTTCTATACTTTGGAGGCAGTTTTTTGTAGTTGTTACCTCCTTGTCCTGAGGATGTGGTGGAGATCATCTTCTGTGGTTTGGATAATGATTTGCCCCACAAAGGTTCATGTTCTGGAATTTTGGTCCCCAAAGTAATAGCTTTGGGAAGTGGTAAGACCTTTAAAATGTAGGACTTAATGGAAGGGCAATATCCAACTAGCTAGGGGCATGGAGGGCTGAGCAGGAAGTAGGGGATGTTTTTTCCCCTCTCTCTTTGCACATTCCTGCCCTTATTTCTGCTTTGGTGAGCCATATTGTGATGTAGCACCAGAGGCAAGATGTACACTAAATCCCAGCCCCCGCATCTTTGGAATGACTTTTCAGCCACCAGAATTGTGAGTCAAATAAACCTTTATTCTTTATATATTATCCAATCTCAAGTATTTCTGTTTAGCAACACAATAGCAGAGTAGCACACCTCCCTTTTATTATTTTAGCCCAAGTGGGCCTCCATAACTCAGCTGAGGTGAAGGTATGACTTTTCATCTAAAACTTGGGGAAAATAAAAGGAAACCAATATGATACGTAAAAATATCATCTAGTTTACTTACTTCCAAACCTGACTGTGTATCACAATCATATGATATGGGCATAAAAGCATAGATTATTGGACACTTTGGCACCTGACTTTGGACTTTTATATGGAAAACCCTTAGGGGTTCGTTCTACCCAAAAGTTTTATCAGTCTCCTGTGTGATGGATGACATCTCAGCACCTGAGACCACCTGAGAGAACTAATTGTCCTCCTCCTTGTTCACCATTGTATCTCGAGCACTAAGTATAGTGCCTAACACAGAGCAGGACCTCAGAAAATATAGTGCTTGCTGAAGAACAGCTGGCTGAGTAAAGCTTGCCAGCTTAGTTCCTGCTTTTTGCCTGAAGATGTGTCTCTCAGCAGGTTGTGCTCCACCTTCTGAGAACACAATTAACCAGCCTCAAGGAATTCCTATATTTGATAAGTCACCACCTAATTACCATCTGAGTATAACACTTTGTAGGTAATGGAGGACATGTATATTTCAGGTTCTTCTGTTAATCACCAGGTTATTTTAGGCATGTGATTTGACCTCTCTGGACCTCAGTAACCTCATCTGTGTAGTAGGAATAATCATAAAACCTGCTTTATTTTTATTTACATATTTTATATAAATTGA